AAACGTTTACGAAATGTATTTCCGTACATTTTTCTTCTACTTGTGAAAATAGCAAACATGTCAATCATTGCACAAAAACAGCAAAAAGCACGCAGAATTGACGCTGTTTCATCATGCGGGAAATAATTTCAAAATCAGCACCCCCCCCCCCCCTCGGATAATATGTATATATTATACCAGTTTTATAATATATTTTTAATACCGTACGAAAACGCTCGGATTTTTTTTTAAGATGAATGCCACAACATCGTTCTGTACGGTTTTAGAATTCCAAAGAGCATATTTTATGCAAAAGAGGAAAAACATATGTCAATTGTACTACATTTTGTTATTTTTTCTAATTAGTTACATCTTTTAAATTTCAAATTTACAAGTTTTACATGAGTTTAGGACCGAATTGCAATAGAAATTTCAAGCATTCAGAAATTGGCATAAACATAAGTGAGTAATTGTTTACCGTCAACATATAACTAGCCATAAGCAATATTTGATTCAATCAAGCAGTCATTTAGTTGAAATGATATGTTTCTTAGATCATTAAGCATATCTCTTAATTAACATATGCTTTTCATTAATAAAATTATAACTAATGAACTAAAAATCATTGAATGAATATTTGTTTTGAGGTGTAAAGAATTTAAGCATGTTTTAATGTTTTACTCTTATTTCAAATCTTGATTCGAATGAAGTTCATATAAATTAAAAGCTTAGACAAAACAATTAACTTCAAAGTGAATCTTTACTACTTGCTTTTATAACAAATTGATATGCATATATAAAGAATTTGCTATACAGACGAAAAATTTAAGAAATTTTCGAAATCTGCTTGATAGGTAAATTTATACATGTACTACGATCTATAAAAATGCAGCTTACAATCATTTGAAAATTATGTTAAATGATGATTTATGATTACTAACTTTATCTCGTATATAAGATGAATACTTGTGGTTGCGTATAGCATATTTTATACATATGTAATCTTAGTTACATATTTTATGGCTAGAGTATTCTTCACATATGAGTTATTAACTAAGTGAATGATGCATATTTTGATTACGAAATACAGATTTGATATCATATGTTTGATACATTGTTCTAATTAAAAATCATGCTCTTTGTAGTCAAATATGTAGGCGTGTTACTTACTTCCTTCTAAAAGACGTTTCTATTAATTAGAACTAATGTCATTTCTTTTCTGAAACATTTTCTTACATAAAAGTAAACTAGGAATGTTGAGGAAACATGTAATTTTGACATTGCGATCCAAAGATGTCATTAAAATAAATTGCTGCTGAGAAAATGCATGATTTACGAGGATTTTGTAACAAATTGGAAATAATCATACTATAATCTTATATTTATGGCATGTCTTGTGGAGACGAAATACTATATATTCACAAACTTGCCCGTGTTTCAAATACAACCTTCCTTATCTCACGTTGACTCTGTTTGAATACACTTTACAATTAAGATATAAAGAGAGATAATGTCAGATCGAGACATATAAAAACACAAAAAGTATTACTGTTGAAATGCAGATGTTTTTTTCTTCTTATAAAAAGTTGTTTTTTCATATAAAACTCATTTTTAAAACTCATTTATATACTTTCTTGCCGCCATCTCCATGGTCTTAGTGTCTGAGAAATTATTTATCTAAATTGACTGGAGGTCTTTGATGAATAAAGCATTATACGGGAAATGATTTAACAGCTACTTCATTTAAAAAAAACTTCGATAAAAAAGTAAATTTTACTTTCTACATACTTGAAAACAAATTGAGATTTTTTTGTTTCGCAATAATTTTTTCGATATGAATCAAATCATAACAAAAAGTCAAGTAGACATAAAAAAAATGTGTTGACTATGATGAGCTCATAAACTCTGTTTAAATTTAACAAAAACATATCTATCATTAATAGCTTAAGGATTGTAAGTGAGGACAAGAAAAACAATATTGATTTGATATTTTGGATGTAATTGATAACAGCTTGATACTCTTCTCAAAGTAATTTACTTTGTCCAATGGCAAGGATACGTAATTACTGTTTTGATATATAATTTGTTCAGAGCTGTCAGGGCACATTTTTGTCTGAATTGTTAATAACATAGTTATACCTTACTTTTTTCAAGGACAGAGCTTTCAAATAAGTTAATTGTTTTGGCGATAACTGTTACTCCTAAATTTTAATAAGTCTTGTTTTAAAAATCACAAATCATGAATAATTGACAAACATATTCCCTTTGAAACCAAACAAATACTTTTTTTAGTAAATAGAAACGAATTATAGAACAAAACTACTAATTAGAACAGATTCGGATACGACCATCGTAACTCAAGGTTTGTACCTATTTAGTAATGTGTATATAAGAAAAGGAAAACAAGAAACAATGATGTAAAGTGTTTAACCAAGTCCGGTGTTTTTTCTTTTTAAATTAAAGCGAAAACTCATTCATGCAACATACAATTTCTCTATCCCTAAAATTGTTAAACATTTACATACACATAATAATGCATCTCATCTAATATTGCACGTGTCAAAAACATATTTGCTGAAGATATTATTGAAATTAAAAGATGTTTAAGTTGAAAAGTACCTTTGTTGTACAAGTATTTAATTATAAGTTTGGCAAGGTAATTGAATAGATTGTATTAGTAACCAGTATCCAGTTAACCATTATACTTTAAACCTCGTTTGCATGAGCAGGACATTGTGGCTTTCAGTGATGATGTATGAGTATTTAATTTAATGTGCATGAGAAATTCCACGATAAACATCATGGCTTAGAGCGCTCGTATCTTTATATTTTTAACTTGATGTTACAACAAGTGCTCAACAGAATGGCGGTGCAGTTGTGTGTGGTTAAGCTCGAGTATAGACATCCTGTTTGAAGAGCTACAAGTAAACCACTCAACATTTAAAATTATATTACATTCATAAAAATGATACAAGATGATACATCCTTCTTGAAATTATTCTAAATATTGATAACGACAGATGTGGTAGATTATACCTTTATGTTCCTAGTGAAGCTCGTCTAAATATTTGCTGAGCAGCGAGGTAACTATATCGTACATTTCTTGAACATAAATGTAGTAGTTTGTGTTATTATCAACGCCTTTTTAAGGATGTATCCAAATTTAAAATTTTACCATTTCATATGTAATGTTTAATTCTGTTTAAATCGGTGCTAGGGGTCGTGAACGGTAACTGGCACTTCATGAACATGCTCCGAGAAGTAACACTTTCAATTTAGCCGCTTTGAACTCTATTTCTCTCTAATTTTTCTGCAATTGCATATTTTCAGTTTTCTCATAGTCGATTTGATAGTGATTTGTTATAAATTTATATGATATCATTCAATATTAGCAATATCAATAAGAATATTAGCACAAAACATCAATGAATAAAAGTGTAAAACAGTAAATCTCTTAAGTTAGATCTTTTTTTCTGAATAGTAACTGAATGTAAATACCAAAACGTACTGCCAAATGCATTTTCAAAAGAAAAAGTATATACAAGGGTTGATCACATTTTGAAGAAGTCTTATCATATTTCATCATAACTTTTAAGACTTAGAACTGCAGTTACTTAATATAAAAGGAGGAGACACATGATCACATCATTAGATAAATATGCAAGTAGTGACATTACATGATCATGTGTATTTTATATAGATATAAAGAGAAAAAATGTTTATATACATTATACTGAAATAGAAACGATTGTCTCAAACTATGTTTCATCAATTCTATAAGTAAGCGATCGGTTGCTATAAATCATCAGGGAAAATATAAATATGCCATCACCATAAACACTGTTTGGTGAATTATCAAAAATTAGAAAATATTTTTTTAAACAATTTATAGTCACATGTGAAAGCTGCACGCCTCCAGATGAGCCAAAATATTTCAAGAAAATCAATATTGTGAAAAATTTACTAAAATTTTAAGAAAGGTAAAAACATTCAAGATCCAAATTATACTGGTTATGTTATGTGCGGTTTATGACTGATTTTGCAGTATTTTATTACCATATTTCTACTGCGTTACTAACGCAGTAAGGGCTATTTTTGCATATGTTGACGAATTTTTTGGTACTTTTCTTGGATTGTAAGTGCCGATTCCAATATGTAAATTACTTTTTTGTTAACCTCACAATATTTTTCATTTAAATACATTTCCAAAATTTTCATGGTCATAACCATGAATCTGGGGGCGTGCTGCTTTAATGCCTTTTTAATTACGATTACTATTTGATAAGAACGTGCGTTTGCTACTGAAATTAACAGGTTTATTGTCTTTAATCACGTTGTTTCTGTTTCATTTAAAAATGTTTATAAAAACATTGGTATATTTCCAAAACAACAATCCTCTCAATCTTCTCGAAAACAGAATTAAGAAATAGATTAAATGACTGAATAGTTATAATTCAGTATAAAAAGTTTTGATTCTTACAATACACAAAAATAGCTGCTGCACTATAGATTATTGATGTGTAAATTTAACATTATTCTATTTTATAATGTTATGTTAGAAAATACTTTCTTATAATCTTATAAATATTTAAAAAAATGTGTTCGTGATAAAAACAATTATTATACTGACATGAAAAGTTTGTGAAAAATAGGGTCAATAAATTATAAATATTAGAAGTTGGTAAGTTAAAGCAAAAATGTCAGATAAACATATTGGTCTGAAGAAGAGTCGCACGAAGTTTGCAGACTGTCGTCAAAATAAAAGAATAACATGTCATTACGTGAACAAATTGGCCTGATTGATACGTTCTAAAGACATTATCTTGATTTCACATTGGAACTGACCATGATGACTTAATACAAAAATGCTAAAGTTAGGGAAAAAAACAGTTATTAGCTGCTCTCAAACAAGGCGAGACCTATACAAGTGGCATAGAAATGTCATAATGACCGCGATGACGTTTGGAGACACAAGCTAAGTGAGCATTATACTGGTCATAATTTTACTAGTTATAACTTACCTTTGCAGGAACGCAGACACACACTAGAAGAAGATCGGCAGTTGCAAGACTGAGTAGAAACAGGTTTGTAATACTCCTCATTCTTTTAACTTTTATGATGGAGAAAATTACTAGCAGATTCCCGATGATGCCCAACAAGCCTATAAGGGTATAAACCGTAACCATAGGAACAAATTCATCTAAAGGTAGATGAGTTATTGAAGAGTCGTTCGGGTAATCGTAAGTGTAATTCATCAATAAATAATCATAGTCGTCGTAACTATACATGTATTGCTGAAACGCAACGTCAGAACCATCGACCGCCGGTGCCGGCATACTTGAATTAGTCATAATCTTTTTCCGATGACCGGATTCAATTTCATATAATTTCCAAAATATGATGAAAAAAAATCTTATTAACTTAAATTCAACAAGACAATTTAAATGTAATCTTATAGTTTAAAAAATAAAAATCCAGTAAAAGTTTTATCAATTGTTAAAGAGCGATTAGAATAACGAACAAGCGTAAATCCAAATGATGTTACAGCACATGTTATCGCTGAGCAAGTGTCTCTTTCCAACTGTGACTTTAACTAAAATACCTCCATACAAAATCCGATATTTCCCATAATTCATTCTGTTGCACTCAAATTTATAAATTGCCCGTGATAAACTTATGACGTAATAAATAGTTACCACAAATCTGTCTCGAGCAAAAAATAAAACTTTTTCAAGCCTCTGTCACAATCTCAGAAAAATTTATGTAAACATTTATTGATATGGGAATCCCGCTAGAATCTGATTTGAGACTGATATAGTCGCTGATTCTGACAGAATTCTGATGCATTTATCATGCTAAGTATTAACACACTGTAGCGTTCTGTCCGATACCATCTACGTATACCATGGTTTGATTTAAACACCCAACTTCTGTCTAAGTGATTATACAAATAAAAAAACGTAACAAAATTTATAAACTTCAACAAATTCCCATATCGTTGAAAGATACGATGTCGCCGGTGAAGCACAGTTGAAATTCCTGTGTGAAACTTTCTTACACTGTCATGAATATTTCAGAAACATTTGTTTTCTTAACATTTTTTAATTCAGCGTATAAGTGTATAAATGAAGTGTGGATAACAACATTGTACATTAATAAAAGTCATGTAGAATAAAAATACACATAATTATATACAATGGCTGTAAGCCGTTCTGTTAAAGCCCTTAAATTTTATTTATTTAGATTAAATTTAAATGAATTTAAAAAGTTTGGAGAAAGTTTGAATGCATTAACAGATGTTCAAAAATCCACTTATTTAAAGGTGATTTAGTCCGTTTCAACTTGGCCTTTATTGGTATAAGACAAACCAAAGTAGTGGTTCAAATCAAACATTTTTAGCTTGGTTAAGAGGTATGTACCGGGCTTCTTGCATAAACAACAATTTATCATCCCATGGTGTATCGAACATATTAATCACTCAATTTGATAACAACATTCCTTTTGTTATTTTACTCTTTTCACATAAAAACTTAACGAAAAAAAAGAATGTGCAAATCCTGTTTACAGCAGAATTTAATTTTACCCATATTCCTGTCACTGCCCTTACGTCAGCACATTTGATAACTTGGTGTCTTTAAACATTTTCTCCAAATACTCAAAATATTATAAGTTGTATTTGTTATAAACATTGTTTTATGCTTATCCAAAATAAACTTTCGTAATCGTATTTGTATTTTAAAGCTAATCCAATAGTAATTATGTTTGTTGATCTTAGATGCAATGATGTACTCATAGTCTTAAAATCTTTTTTCCATTACTCATTCTATAAACAACAAGCTTCACAAATGATTTCCTACAATATTCATTACGATGGATTATTTTCAGGAAACAAATCAGAGCCCAATTATCATGATTACCACATTTCTTCACCTGTTAAATGAATGAATCTTAAGAAGTAACAATGTGTCTTAATCTTAATAGGAGAGCCGAAGAATAAATTGTTTGGCACTGAAAATATTTAGGCCGCCATTGCACTTTTATAATCAACATATAAAACTCTGACATGTTCACATCCCACTTGTTAGTATAAACATGTCAGATTTTACAGTTAGTTTCTTGAGAAGAAGGTTTATTAGAAAAAGAAAAGCCTATATATTTATTTCGTTCATAATTATAAAAAGTAAAAACAGTCTGATATAGAATATTAAAGCTATTAACCACATTTTTTTCAATTGATTTTAAAGTTTCTCTAAATATTAATTTTGAAAAAAAGGTAAAAAATAGTTATGTAAAGCTTAGGATTTCAAAACTGTTTATTTTATAAAGTGGTACACGAAAATGGTTTATTACAAGTTTTTTTCTAAGTTTTAATAAAGTTTGTTCATTATTGTTATCACTATATTCATTAAGACAAAAAGGAAATGATAAATAATAATAATAAAAATAACACTTCAATTAGCTTGCAATGTCGTTTTTTTACATCTAAATTGTTTCAAACCCCCGACAACGTTTGCCTGTCGTACTAGATATGCTAGTTGATATAGCAGTGTTTATACATCAAAAGCACACTATCTCAATATGTAATAGTTTATTGTTGAATCTATGATAAACGATATTTTTTAAAAAATTGCCACAGTCTATAGTCTCGACCTTTGAATATTTATGATCAGATTATTTGTGAAACATGAAAAATGTACAAAAATTGTGTAACGAAGGAGCCAACAGTCGTGACGAATCTAACACCAGTGAATGATCGACAAGTAAGTTGTTTAAATGTTTTGACAGCTCATTTAAATACAAGAAACAGATGTAAGTTATAATCCGAGTTTCACAACGTTGAATACACCATAGTCTCCTGAACCGTGAGGCATGTAAATAATACATTTAAACAAGTGTTTCTCATATATCTGTTGCTGATTGTTTAATCACATCAACAACATTGATTTCACCTTATGCAATTATATCATTTATTTATTTTCATGCATGACATAAACAGCATTTCAATGTTGCAATTTGAATGGCTCAAAATTTAGAAGATACCATATGTTTGTGTTTCTGATAATCTAAGATTAACAATATAACCATTTCTGTTTTTTTAAGTTTAAGATATTTTTCCAAATACATAATTATATATTATACCAATCCAATGATAATATTCAAAGTAAAATATTAGAATGGTCGGCTCGGATGAGGGTTGTTCACATTCAAAAATGGCATCCGATAAATGTTTCCTGTTTCACTGTCAACATATCTATTAGTCTTCTCTAAGTACTTGATATATCATAATTAGTTTCTCATTTTTCGCCGATTATTTTTCTCTCTGCCAATAATCCAGTCGAACTAACCAGTCGAAAACATATATTATACGCCTGTGAAATATAGATATTGTTCACTTAAGTAAAGTTTGAGCAAAAAACATGTTAAAAATTGAATGCAGTGGGAAAAGGATTAGGAACAGGTCTATACTTTCCTTATAAGCGATGCCAGAAATCATTTTATAAATTTTCTATGGTGTTGGTAATACTTGCAATTCGAAAACGAAACGCTTTGAAAGAAGGTCTTTGAATGAAACGTGGTTAGATCCATTTTATTCCTAATACGAAATATCTAGTTTCACTAAAATGGTTTATAAATTTTTCTTTAATTTTGAATTACAATGAGTGTTTAAATGCGCTGCTTTTATTGCATTGATGTATGTGGCAATTATTTATGTCTCTATTCAACAGAAATATCATATAAAAGTCATCAGGGAAACATCCACTGATTTTGATAACAGTAAATTTCTGATATGAATTATCTGATCGTAATTTTTTTAATCATTGAAATATGTAGTGTAAAAGTCATCTTTTGTTCATCGTATTTAACATGCTATTTATAACATGCAGACAAATTTAACCACTCCTGTAAAAAAGGTAAAATCATTTATCACTTACACCCGAAGAAACTTTGTGTGATCTTTTGAAGTGATGATTTTTTTACTGTTGTTATGCGACGTTACATTTACTTAGATTTATCTATTATCACAGACCTTTTTCACTTTTTCATTTGTATGGTATAAAGGCTGGGTTATTTACTGGTTTACAAAAGATAAAGCTGTACATCGTAGGTATTATTATTTTCTGGTGAATACATTATTGTTGTTTTTTCCTGGTTGTGTGTAATGCATAGAAGCGCACCTCAATGATTAAGTGTTGCAAACATTTCGTTTTAAACAGATAGATATTTGATTTTTTATAGTAGCATTTCTAGAAGAATCGGATAGTTCGCAAACAAAACTAATTTAATAGTAACGCAATGACACAATTGTTTAAAAATTAAACATCTTCATATATAAGCAATGGACGCCACCGAATAATATTTTAACATTTTCTTGTTGGTTGATGATACATGTACATATAATTATAAATCGTATAAGCAAGATTATAAATTTATATTTATTTTTTCAGAGAAATGACAATTTAATCATATTGTTATATTGAAATTATCGTTCAGCTTTATTTCTATAACAAATTACAATGACAAAAATCGTAATGGAAAGGTAAACTTAAAGTGTTAGACAAACGATTTGTTCCAACCCTACCACGCAAACAGAAACATGCATATTAATTTTTTATACATTTTGGTTTACTAGGTTAACTTCTAATTGTTTCTTGTTTCTTGTAACAGTTATACAAACATCAATATATGGATTATGCGTTCAAGTTTATGTTTCGTTTTTTGACCTCCGTATCGGTTACTTTCATTACTTTCAGGATGATGTTCGAAAGTGATTGAAGAATTACAAGTTGCAAGAGCTAGATTCCCAATCGAATTGAAATGGATATGTAATAACTTAAAAAGTTAAACATGTATAGAATTTTAGTCACGATTAACATAGTTTGGTTCTTACTAGCATAGACTTTTATCTATCGTATAAACACTCGCATGAATTTTGATGATGAAAATATAAACGTTATTTTCTCCTAAAAGATGAAGAGTGCTTGCTTATGCTTCAAAAAAAACTTTGCTTTGATCAATGTTTATAGCACACGTTTTAAAAACTTTATTTGTTTTATCAAAAGAACTCTATAAACGAATAAAACATTAAATCTTTAAATACAAGAAAATATAAAGAGATAGTCATGTATGTGTATCTTTAATTTCATTTAATCATGGATGAAAACGTTGGAACCCTTTGGACATACAGGAAGTATACGCTTTAAACTCTAGCGTACAGCGTAGTTTTTGTTACTGACGCCAAAACGCCTTCTTTTCATAGTTCGTATAAAAAGTAAAAATTGTCTTTATGCAAGTTTCATGTAATTTTGCTGATTTTGATGCTTCCGATGGATCATTTTTTCCACATATTTGTTCAACATTCCAAGTTCTTTAGTGTTTTTGAATGGTTAATAATATTTTCATTTCATAATTCGGGCAATACAAATCGAGTATAGTGGTGCATAAAGCACTTTTAACAATTATATCTTTTAATTACTTTGTACGATTTGTTAAACATAACGTTAAAAAAAAAGAAATAACTTTTCGGAATAATTGCTAATTGCCTTGATTCACCCCAAAACATAAATGTAAATCAGGTCCTTCTAGATATGTAAGGAATTGTATACCCATATCTATAATAAGAAATGTGAAAACTCATTTATTTTCTCACCATCCTTTTTTTATTTTTTAAACATACCTCCTTTATAATTATGTACACATTTTATATGTGATGCGCAAAAATTTTATGTGCAAATTTACTAATCCATCTTTTGAATTTATTTATATTATTTGTTTAAAATTACATACGTTTA